ATTCAGCATGAAAGGTTTGAACAACTGAGTTCTAGAAGATTCTGGAGATGGACCCATGGCAAAGTACAGAAGAGTTCTCGATGAAGCAGTTAACCTCACATCTAAGAACAGAGGATTGGGAACTATAAATCATATGGTTGCTAAATATGAACAGACAAAGAACAGACTAAACTATTTTTATCCAAAAAGACAAGTTCAAGATGATGGGATTCATACAAAAGCATTGAACTTATAAGAACTCAAGCAATGTAATAAATTTATAACAAGTGTTGCAATAAATTTTGTACGAAGCAGTATTCTGTTGGTGTTTTATTATAAAGTTGCTGTAAATTTCAAATACGATGCAGTGAGTTATATACTTTCTTTGTAATTTAATTTTTTCCTCAAAAATATGAAATTTCGTGAAATTTCAATAGGTTTAAGCATAGTTTTAGGTAGATATTTTGAAAATAAAATTATCCTATATATTGTTAACTGGTCGAAATATAAAAAACCTTATCATGTTTTAAAGTTTTTTTGAAAAATTTTCAATCTTTGTGACGAAAACGCTCATCACTAACTTACCATGAACCAAAAAAACTAATCACATAACACGTAATTAATTTTTGATTTTTCTAAATTTGATTGAACGCGCCAAAATTTTTGCGAAAAATCCAAAAAAAATCGTTTTCTTTACCATTATCTTACCATCACACAAACCATGAAACCTTACCATTGGTATTCCCTATCTTAATACCTGATAAACTCTATACCCAATGTTAAAACACAATTGGATGACTGGATGACTATTCCCTATCCTAAAACATGCGGGTCACCCTCCTCCCCCACTTTAGCTCCAAGATCTACTACTATCGTCAGAAATTATAAGTTAACAATGTACAAAAAAATTAAATGATCATTCGAAGTAAAAAAAATTGCACTTAAGGAACAAATTATACTTGAATCAGATAGGGATTCTAAGCAATCTGTTGATCAAATTAATTCAAAGTAAGTTTAGGCTGGTTAAAAATACAAACAAAAACACCTAAAAGGATGAGCCGATAATATCGAAAATCATATTATAGAAGTACATTGAATAAAAAAACAATCGGAAAAAGGTCAAAAATGAGTATTACCAAAAATAGAAATTCCATTTATTGCAAAACATTTGAAGCATGGCAGAAACATGGCAGGAAGTTTTATGGAGTTTGGTAATTCAAACTGGCAGAATACCAATTTTAACCAATCAAAGAACAAACGAATCGGATCAGATGTGGTGGTGCTGCTTTCTATCTATGTGAAAATATTCCATATAAAACTAATAGGATACTGAATTTAGAGTGCAAATTTTGAACTTCTGCACTTTTAGAGTGCAAATTTTAGAGTGCGAAGAGAGCAGGTTTCTAAGTGTTAAAATTACTCAAAAGAACAAACGTAAGTTTCTTGATCAAATAAAAGTGTATCAGTCCGAGTTGAAATAACAGCCTGGAGATATGCACACTGTTAGTCGATACAAGATTGTTGATGTGCGTAAGATGAGAAAAGAAACCTTAAATGTTGAAATCAGCCTGCTACTTTTTAGGTTAATTATGCTGAAAAGTGAAACTACACAAAAAACGAAAAGCAGCGAGTCAACAATAAAATAGTTTTTTTAGTAATTTTGTTCAATATTCATGACCCAACACAACACGATATCGGATCCCGAGATGGTAGAAATTAAAACCTCATTTATAATTAAAGACAAAACTTCGCTCAAGAAACAAAATCTTGAATTTAGGGATAATTGTAACTTTTGGATGACCGCGAGCCATTGCTGGAGTTCAGTTCCGCCATGCGTCAAAAACTAAAGATACTGAAGATGTGCGTGATTGCTTTTCGCAGCTCTTAAATAGTATCAAATCTACCTATAGAAAAAGAACTTCCTAAGTTCCCAATCAAAAAACGTAGGAAAAATTAGATAACGACTTAACTAAAAAATAAATTTGAGATTGAAAAAAAAAAAATTGTAGTCTTGATAAACTCCAGGAACAACGAAACAAATTGGAAAGCCTGTGTCGAATATCAAAAATTCTTTCTTCAAGATAAGACTTGGAAAAGGGCCCAGCAAAATTTGAACAAACGTATAAGTCATTTGTGAGATCAGAAAAAAAGGAAAAACAAGTGAGTTCAAATCACAGCATAACGAGTGCAAAAGAATTTAACATTTTTTTAAAAATTTAAACTGATCAGAAGCTAACCAATTTCAAAACAACACACCACAGTATTTAAAATTGATGACAGAGCAAAACTAAACAGTTTTTTGAATGCAATTTTAACAGTAAAGTAATCACAAAAGTCTAAAGTAATTACAAATTAATTACAAGTAATTAAAGTAATTACAAACCTGAAGACAAAGAAACATCCTTGATTTTTGCAATCAGAGTAAGAAACTAATTTAAAAAATCGTTGGGATACATCTGACCTTCTGAGTTGCATTTTTATTTAATGTGTAGTATTTGCATATTATTCTTCAGTTTTTCAGATAGGTAAAGCTGAACCATTTCTTAAAAATGGCACATTGTCAGATTGTGGTGACTACAGACTTCTAGGGTAAAGTTTTCGAAAAATTGACTTAAAATCGATTGAGAAGTTTTCTAAATAAAAATGATATATTAAGCAAGTCAGTACGGATTGCCAAATGATAAAAGAACAGTTGATGCTGTCTTAGAACTCAGTGAACAGATAAAAGAGAACTTGGAAGATAATAGTGGCTCCTTGTGTACGTTAAAAGATCTTACAAAAGCGTTCGGCAAAATTGATCAGAAAATCTTCACAGAAAAATGCCAACTTTATGGTCTACGAGGTAAACTTGTTAATCTTTGAGATCATACCTTAAAAATCGTAAGCAGACGTTATTTTATGAAGTTTTATCTGACAAAAAAAACAATCTACTTGAAGATACCAGAAAAAATCACAGCCGAAATAAGCTTACTGCGAGAAGAGAAAAGAAAATTGAAATTGAGTTTCGTATTTTGTATAATATATTCTTACACTTGGATAAAAATGTTCTTCTTGAAGCGTTAATATCTAACATTGAATCTTTGGAGTCTTTTTTCATGAAAAAGTGTCATCTATAATTGTGTCAACGAACATTTCTTAAGTATGGAATGGCATTTTTCCTTCCCTTTTTTATAGTTTTTTTTTGCTCATTTTATTTTAATTGTGAGACAACACCAAAAAAAAACAGATTTTTTCTTCTTTTGTTTTGTATTTGTAGAAAAATGCGGACTTTTTGACTATTTGATCTAAGTTTAAGAAACTAAACGAGTTGATTTTGCTTCTGGAGATGCCACTGGACAAACTGATGCTTTATTGGTGTTCTCCCAAACAGAAATATATTGTAAACGTTCAATTTCATAGAGTGTTTGATCATAAATTTTGGCAAGAAAATAAAAAATTGTATTTGTTATTTTCTTTAAATAAATTGTTACAAGAAATCTGGCTATCTGGTGTTACTAGGTCAAAAACTAATGATTTTAAAATTTACGCAAAGATTACTTTGGGTAATCCTTGGCAACCGATCCCTAGTTTTTTTAAACCATTGAAAATCGGGAAGAACTTTGAGCTCTTATGTGTTTCTTTTTTATTATTTTTCGTGTTTCACTCAAAATCAGTTACTACAGCACCCACAGTGTCACCTGCAAAGCAAACAGCTTCCCTTGTGTTCTTAATTTGTTTCGTTTTTATGTATTATTAAAGTAGCTGAATCCAAAATGGGATAATTCTTCGGTTTTAAACAAAATGTTTCCACTATAAGGATAATTGTGGCTTTTTTAAATTCTGAATTGTTGTCTTATCTAGAGTGTATTGGTTTGAAAAGAACTTCTTTCTATGAGTTGACTTTTTGTGGAACAGAGCTTTTCCAAAATTCAAGATTTTAAATCATTTCCTTTTAGCAAAAACTTCAGCGCCGAAGTTAATTATGACGGAAAAAAGTTATTTTCGATAGCTAATACAAAAATTTGTGGCAAAAAATTTGGCTCTTTGGTGCTCGCTTAATCTACAAGCTAATGATTACTTGGGCCAACGGCGACTCAAGAAAAATTATGTATTAGGTCAGAAAATGATCACACAAAAATTTATACAAGAAAACTTTAGGAAGGACTTAGACAACCAGAAAATAAATTTTGTTCGGACCCTTGAAAATTGGAATATACGATTACGAGATAAACTGGGAATTTTATGAATTGTAAGCGGATGTTGCAACAAGGACGCTACCTTTATTCTTTTTTCTCTAAATTTCTTTGATACTTCCGACAAATTTTGACCATATTTAAATACTTGTCTCTTGATTCCAGGAACTCAAAGCTGTGCGCCTATCCAGTGCAGAGTTTGGTCTTGTAATTTTGTATTCGTGTGTGATTCAACTTTTTTCATATTTTTCAATGTTTCCAAAAAAAGTCAGGTACCGCAGCAACCACAGCACCACTTGCAGAGCAACCAGCTTTTTTGTGTTTTTATGTATCTGTTGTACTGTATAAAACGCCCAGTCGTGATTCGAAAGACATTGAAATGTTTCCAAAGCTGAAAAAAAAACTGGTTCAAAACGTAGAATTTCTCGTTTTCGAGCGAGTAAAGCGAGCCGGCGAGCAGACTTTTAATAGAAAGATAAGACCTAAAACTTTTCCCACGCCCTGTAAATTTAGATTTACTCCAGTAAAAGTAATTTTGGAAATTTTGTAAGCGCCATCTGGGGAATGAAAACTTCAGACATTCAAAAAAGTGCCCAATTCGCTTATTTTATTATGGTGGTCGAATGTGTCTTAGTTTTAGGCTTTTGATTAAAAAATTCCTTCACACCAAGGATGAAAAAGAACCCTTTTGTTTTGTTCTAGGAAAATTGTGGGAACATTCTGTGCTACTTGCATAGCAACCGGCTATCCTTGTGTTTTTATGTTTATGTTGTTATGTGTACCAACGTCATACCCTGATAGCACAAAGGCTTTCAGTATTTCAAATAGATATGACAATGGTAACATTACCTCTAATTGGGAGACGTAAGGAATCCATATGTTCTGTTCAAGATCCACCCGGTACTTCTTGTCGAATGCACCCGCGTATGACACAAATGCGGAAATGAGGAGGACGTCCCCTGGCAACTGTTTCTCCAGCTCCCTGAACAGAGCAATGCTGTCTGTCCACCTGTGCTTTTCACTACTCAGTCCCCCCACCAGCCGATTAGCCAGTTCGATAGTCAAATTCGTCCGGTCTTTCTCCTCCTGACAGGCAGTCTTCTCATCCGTGGCCGCTTGCAGTTCTGCCAACAGTCCATTCAACTGAGCCTCCAAGCCCTACACGACAATCAACACCAAACGAAACTTTCATTCGACACTCAAACTCACATGTTGATATTTAATGTTGATATTTCATTCGCATGATGATGATGATGATGATGATGATGATGATGATGATGATGATGATGATGATGATGATGATGATGATGATGATGATGATGATGATGATGATGATGATGATGATGATGATGATGATGATGATGATGATGATGATGATGATGATGATGATGATGATGATGATGATGATGATGATGATGATGATGATGATGATGATGATGATGATGATGATGATGATGATGATGATGATGATGATGATGATGATGATGATGATGATGATGATGATGATGATGATGATGATGATGATGATGATGATGATGATGATGATGATGATGATGATGATGATGATGATGATGATGATGATGATGATGATGATGATGATGATGATGATGATGATGATGATGATGATGATGATGATGATGATGATGATGATGATGATGATGATGATGATGATGATGATGATGATGATGATGATGATGATGATGATGATGATGATGATGATGATGATGATGATGATGATGATGATGATGATGATGATGATGATGATGATGATGATGATGATGATGATGATGATGATGATGATGATGATGATGATGATGATGATGATGATGATGATGATGATGATGATGATGATGATGATGATGATGATGATGATGATGATGATGATGATGATGATGATGATGATGATGATGATGATGATGATGATGATGATGATGATGATGATGATGATGATGATGATGATGATGATGATGATGGTGATGATGATTAATCAAGACAACGCACCGCAATCTTTGCCTGGATTCCAGAGAGTTTCTCCTTGGCATTGTTCAGCTCCCGGTTCGCATCTTCAAGGGCCATTCTCTTCGGTAACACATCGCAAAAGACTTCGTAGTATTTGACTATGTTGATGGCCCACGAGCAGAGCCCGGCGGCGGCAAACGACTTCTTGCCAATGATTTCTGGATTGAACTCGTCGTTGTTCATGTAGTCTTGCATGGCCTTGATGGCATTCTCGTGGATGTGGTCCTTGTCATAGTTCTTGAGATTGTTCAAGAATTCATCCACTTTTGCCATCATTGACTTAGCCGCCTTCCAGGACCTGTCAGTTCAGAAAAAAAATTGCCGAGTTCACTTCATTTGAATCCGATTTCACTTCATTCACCGACATTTGAATCTATGGTGCATTATTATTCGTGAGCTGTTCAAAAATAAAAATACTTTCAAGGCAAAGCCTCAAAGTACAAACTTGTCAGCTCAGTTTAAGAAGAGCTATACACAATGATGGACGGTTGCTGTGCCAGTAGCACAGAACGGGGGCGGATCCAAGGTTTCATTGGAGGGTGGTGAATTTTCTTTAAAAAAATTCGAAAATTTGTCGACCTTTTTTTAGGTCGACCAAATTGTTATTCTGAGCTTTCTCAAATCACTATAAAAAACCCAATTTTGAGTAATTTGTTGCGCCGCAGGCAATTTTTTGAAAAAAAATTAAGTTAAAAAATGAGAAATAATGGGACTTTTCGAGAATTAGACAAATTTTTGGGATATTTTTTCGGCTCGCGTTCCTCTTTCCTCTTCAAAAGTAGTATATATTAGCGCCAAAAGCAATTTTAGTGTTTTTCAGCCAAAATTGGTTGTCCTAAATTGGAACCATAGGGGGACCCTTTGGGTCGTAGGTTGGTTGAATTCCTGAGGGAAGGCGTCCAATCCCCCAAACCCGCTCCTGCTACAGAATGTTCCGACCATGTAGAATTGGTGATTCTACTGTATTACAAGCAATATTAACCTGAGCGTAAAATTGATTTGTCATTAAGATAAGTAGTAGAGCAAACAAAGGGTAAAGTTCGAAATAGTTCAATCTTCGAAAATATAATCCCTCCTATGCCAGAAAATAAAATTTGACAAAATCGGCGAACCCCCCCCCCACCCAAATCGGAACAAAGAAGGCTAAGGTTATGAAATTCAGAGGAGCGATACTAGAGATGATTTGACCCGGGCATACAAAAATCAGGACCCGTCAGACCCTTGGGGGGCAAGTGATAATGATCCCCGGAAGTGTAAATGGCCCCTATCAGAACTCGGAAACTAACGGTTGGAATAGGCTCAAGTTCTAGTATGTTGTAGGCCTAGTTGAGGGACGCTTAAGTTTGGCACCCCAGACCCCTAAGACGCCCACTTCCGGTTTTATGCCCAAAGTAAACAAACCCACCCGTAACTTTAGGAAGTCGTTTCTCGGCCATCGAGGAGCGCAGGGAGCTGAAATTTAGAGGGATGATAGGTAGTGGCAAGATACATCTTGTATTATAATTTGAACCAAATCCGGTGGTTGGACCGGAAGCTACTAGCACTTGAAAAAAAACACCCCCTTAGACCGGAAATAGGCAATTTACGCAAAATATTGAGCGAGGGCATATCGATTTTATGGCGGCATTAGATACTACAACTCATCCCCGAAAAAAGACCCTTGTGAGTAAAAACCCTCCGGCGACTCCTTCCGGTGTTAATAGTATCTTTCTGGAGAAGTGATAATGGACCCTAGAAATGGGATAACTTGTGAAGTATTAATGGGATATGAATGAAACTTAGTAGTTAGGGATTCTGACCTCCGCGGTGACCTCAAATTGATCTTTGGGCTTTTAGGACCAAAATTGCATGGAAAGCCCCAACCAAGATTAACACCGGAAAGTGGCGTATTTCCCAGCCCAACCCCTGGAAATGAGAATGAGTCACCTTGCTAAAAATTGGGAGGAAAACTTATATATTGGGAACTAGAGCAGAACTTGATAGAGATATAGCTTTTACATTGCAACCTTGGAGTAGAGGAATTAATTTAAAGTGGACTTTGTAAACATTGGGTTCAGTCTAGCTTGGCGAGTGATCTATTAATAGCAGTTTAATTAGACTAAAGAAGAGTAGTCCCAGAGGAAATTGATAGTACTGAGACCGCGGTATGAGAGTTAAGTTTCCTAAATAGTATGAATGGACGGGAAAATTACTTGGCTCTCCGGAGGTGACTTTTCGGTTTAATTTTCCACCTTATAGACGAACAACGTTCCCCTGATAGTTAGAAGGTCGGGATTGGAATAGAGTACAGATAGAAGTTTTAGATGCCTGAAATTAGTTAGCTTCCCATGAAAAGGGCCTCCCCCTACCCTTGGGAGGTCGGAACGGTAACGGGATATTTAAAATAAAGACCTTGGGAGAAATACTGAGTAAACATAGCATGATTTGGAGGTTGAGTTGAACTCGAAAGCTGAAGTTCACAGGGTTCAGGAATTGGTTGATTAGAATCGTATGACATTTGTTTTTTTTGGCCAAGTTGTGACAGCTAACCGCATTTCGGTTATCTAATAAGTGTGAAAAGCTTGATAAAAGAAACCGAAGTTGGCACGTGGCAGAGTTGAAAGGAGGAGGGATATAGTCTTAAAACATGTGTGGATGGGTGATTTAGGCAGATGTCAGGACTGATGGGGAATGGCGTGACTTAACTAAAACTAAGTGTAAAGAAAGATAAGGAATTGGAGGGTACCGGAGAGCCTGTAAGAGGCAGAAGAATTATTGCGAGCGAATCGAACAGTTAGTTCTCAGTTAGTTAGAGAACAATTTGGACTAAAAGCTAAGGTAGTCGCTTGATTCTCAAAGTAAAGTGAGAACGAGTTGGAAGACTTGTTAACGTGAATGTAGATTAGTTAATGAATATTAGTTAGGCTATCTAGAGGATAGCGGAATTGTTGTTGAACGATTAATATTGAAAGAAGTTCTCGAGGAGAACGTTAGTTAGTAATAAGCTGTTAATTGAACTGCAGGAGGCGGTTGGTTTAATTATTAGTAATCGCGAACCCTTTTCTTTAATTGAAGGATTATTTATATTTCAGCCAATTATAGGCTACTCTGTATTTGTTTATATTCAGTTCTTTAATTCATTCTTATTATTGAAATTGCTTTTGCGATCGATTGTTGATTGACGGGTGAGATACAGTCGGAAGAGCACGAATCACGGGGCGAGCAGTATATTACAGTACAGAGCAACCAATCACCGAATCAACCCTTTTGGAATTGTGAACAGTACTGAGAATTGGTTGCCCCGCTGATCTCAGTACCAAAGGGAACATATTGCGGCAGTGGGAAATAGCGAGCAAGACCGGTCTAGAGATACTGTGAATTACCCCACGTTTACAGTGGCGCTCCTGGGTGGGCGCTATTCAGGATTATAGTTGCAACGACGGATTGTGCGGGTTAACGAGGACGAGAAGAGCGAACGAACGGTCGACAAAACAATTGCGATGGCGATGAACGATCAAGGCAGACAGCTGATTGCAGAGGCTGCAGTGGCAGCGGCCAATGCTCTCGATCGGCAACAGGTAAAGTCCGGATTTTGTACGATACAACCAGATCCGTTTCCCTCGAGCAGTTATCAGAACTGGCGATACTGGAGGAAACACTTTGCCTGGATAGCAGACGCCAATCGATGGGCTGATGAGCCGGCCAGGATGGTGCTGCCGACTTGTCTGACAGGCTGGACATTGGATGAGTTCACGAGTATGCCAGCTCACTTTAGAGAGGAAGTTGACCGGTTCGAGGAGCCGACGCTAGGCAGAATGCTCGCGGAACTCGATCAGAGGGTGATGCCATTTCAGACACAATCAGCTGCGAGAATTAGGAGGAAGGCGAGGAATTGAGAGATTTTGCAAGACGAGTGCGATCCTTGGGTGAAGTTGCAAATACAAAACTGGGAGCTCAAGCCCGAGACGACATGAACAGCGAACAGTTCACTGATGGATTTTGTGATTTCGAGCTTCAGGAATTGCTTCTGCGAGAAGACCTCGAGAATTTTAACCAGGCGTTGGCCCGAGCACATGCTGTAGATATGGCACGCAAAACAGTCAGGATGAAGAGTTGGAGACGGCCAAATCACGTTCAGTCGGTGCAAGATTTTCAAGACCTGACGACTGAGGCTGGCGGAGACAGTACGCTGACTGCCGAGACTCAACAGATACGGAAGGAGCTGACGAGATTGCTGACGCACACTGACCAGAGGCTGGACCAAATGATGAAGGTTCAGAACAACTTGGCGAAGCAGATTGATGTCCAGAGTTCGAAGTATGATGAGGTGAGATTGCAGCTGCAGATGCAGGAATCACGCCAGAACGATCTGGCGGCTCAAATGATGGCCCAGATGCAGAACTTAACGACAATGATTGTAGGTTCGTTGATCTTTGTAACCCCAAGCCAGATAGTCACACCCGACGGGGAGAGAACCAGCAACGCGACTTTACGAACCCAAATGGGCGACAGAGTGGAAACAACCCATGGACCCAGGAAGGTTGTTTTAATTGTAGACAGTTGGGCCACATTGCAAAAGGATGTCCCCAAAGAAACGCGAACCAATTAAACTACCAAGGGCCAGGACAGTAAGCGAGTTCGAAGGAGGATTTGTCCCGGCTGAATTTAATAAACAGCAGGCGGAAAGGCGAACGCAAGCTACAGGAACTCAGTCTTGCGCGCGTTACGATACGAATGCAAATAATAATGGAGAAGGGCAGAGCGAGAAGATATTGGAGCAGGAATAAGTTCTATCGATATTGGAACGAGTACCAAGGATTAGAGAGAACGACCCAAAGTTGGAAACGAAACAGAACTCGCGCACGCGCATCGAGCGTGTTGGGATCAGTCATGATGTCAGCAATCCACGCGGAGCAGTCGTTAATGTTTGCGTAGGTGGAACCCATGTTGAGGTGCTGCTTGATACAGGAGCCACCACCAACCTCATTAGGACAGATGTTGCGCTGAGAATGGTTGAGGCACCGATGATGGAACGCTACGTAGGTCGACTGGAGACAGCAGACGGTCAAATAATGGCGTTCGATGGAGTTGTCAGAACTCGCTTCAAGTTAGGCGACATTTGCCGAAGAAATCGAAGCGCTGAAAGCCGAGATGTTCCTAGGACTACAATCGATGAAAGAGTATCAGTGCTTTTTGGCGTTCAGTCGCGGAGAAGATTTTTTGTGGACGGGGACGAGAGAAGGTTCAATGGTACCCATACGGCACTTGACTCATAGGCCTTCTCCGGAACGGATGCCCTCTCTGCCACATGAACCGGAC